GGCGTACATGAAGGCGATTGGCGGCAGCGTGCTCCAGCTTATAGAGGAAGATCTTGGGTATCTTCCACCCTGGTACTCATATCCACTTCCCCTGTCTGGGCTGCGAAAACTTCGTTGATATGTGGCTCGGCCGAAATGACTTTTTTTTTTTGGCCCCCCCTGTATAAACTTGGCTATTATCGATCGCTAGGTTGCGACCGCTCTCATTGGAAAACGTCATTGGAGCGCGGTTGTTGGGTCTGCCAAGGTCCTGCGGTCTTTTTCGAGGGGTTATAATCTCTTTGGAGGGGAGGGGCGGAACTTTTGTATGAATGGTTGGCAGCGATGCAGAAACCGCCACTGTGCGTTTTCCTCACGCCCACTTGCATCTCATTTCGCTCCGCTCGTGACATATTTCGGATAGGTTTCGGATCGGCTAGGGGTAAATGGCAAGCGGGTTTTTATGCTTCACACGAGGATTACTTTATTTCGAAAGCAATTTCATCAGGATTAAAATCGTCTTGAAACCGCCCTATCTTTTCTCTTTCCAATAAGCTTTACAGTTTTCCTGAAGACCCGCTAGTTCAGGAGATATTTTAGATGGGTCACAGACGCGCTACCCTCTGACCCAACCCGAAAAATTGACTCATTCTCTTGCCATTGTCGGGATACATCCTTCAGAAAACTGCAGTGTGCCTTTTCAAACAATCATTTCCCTTCAAATGAGTGAAAGAGGAGTTCGGCATCTATTTGATCTAATTTGCCGAGTGTGCGCGTGCGTTAGGCTCTACGCAGGGGTGTTGGAAGGGTGGTTAAATTCTGATTTCAGGTGCTTTTATCCATGCAAGCAGATGTTTGTTTAGGGTTTGGAAAGGACAATACGCACGAATCTGTTTGAGACGTATTATTTAGTCATCTACGTACTCACGAGTTCATGCGATTAACTGGTATTTATTTATTTATTCTTGCTAGTCTTGCCTATAGTGCCTTTAAATCAATCTTTTCATTATTCTGTAGTCCTATTTACATCCGGGTCTTCTGCAGCTTTCCGTTCCATCAAACTTAGCAATGACACTTTTGTACTGTTTGATGCCTAGCGAGCCTACTTTTGCGATACTCCCCACGTCCCCGCGGCCAAGTACGAACCCATTCTTGGGGATTTCCCATGAAAAGAGGGCAACGTAGCAGTTAAATCTGTAAAGAATACTCATAATAATTTTCATTTTTTTAACATCTTGACTTCCATAGCTCCACTCCCACTATCAACTGAAATGTCGAAGCATTGCCCGGCTCTGAGTGACCCTTGAGATTACGACCCCCCCTCCCCAGCGGCCAAGTACGACCCCCTATGGGTTTCGCACAACGATGCTGTACCCTGGTTCAAAATGCTCTAAATAGGAATTCATGTCGACCCCAACTTGTACGTGCATGCAATGAAGAAACGCATGTTTGTACGAATTTCCACTCGTCGTTATCATAAAGATATCAGCTCTTTTATCTTATCACCTCACTCTCACCATTCGGAATGGAGAGAGATAGCATAGTGGCTACTAGCTAGTAGCTAGCAGCCGGTGGGGGTCGGCATGGGCCTAAGGGGTGCCCATGGGCCTAATTGGTTCAGCTTCCAGCGGAATTCTTGCCGATTTTCACTTTTTGAAGATGGCACACCCTCCGGAATCTCCTTCCGGATCGTCTGACACATTTGAGAGATCATAGCCTTATTTTATCGCGGAAAAGGCCTTTACCCCAGTTTCCAAATCACTGCATTTTAGCAATTGGTGTTGGCCCGGGAGACGTGCAACAGAATCGTCCGGGGCAGCGCCCGCGGCACGCGGCGCGTCGCGCGGCGAATGACTCAGCAGCTCACGGACGTGCATTTGCTAGCCGATAGCTTTGCGATTGGAGCAATTGATTTACTACAGCGTACATCCGCAACGTTTACCAGATTTCATCAATAATTGAAGATCTAATGATGTTTCTCTTGATAGTAACACACAATTGTTTGCGATAGACGCAACTTCAGGGAATAAACAAATACCAAAAAAAATGAGGCAATTATTCTCCCTATGTTTGTATGATTCACATGATTCGCGCAGTCGTTAGCGTCAACATTTGATAGATGAATGGTCAAGTTTTCCTGTGAGCTGCTGTAAAAGATGACACACCAGAGCAAATGTTGAAGACCCTAATGAAGTTCATGCTCTAATGAATCTTTCCATTTTTCATGGAAAAAACAAAAGAAAACTAAAAACTTCACCCTAACTGAACACAAGACTCGATCTGATATCAATACGGTGATATCAATCTTTACCGTCCCTTCAATATCCCTATTCAAACGGCCAGACGCATGATTCGTCTTCTCGCCGCAAGGATGTCGCAGGCCACGCCCACCAGCTGCACCGGACGATTCTGTTGCTACACACCCGTATTGGCCCAAAGAAGATTCTGAATGCATAATACATGACTTTCACCGGCACAGCCGATGTGAAGAGCTCGTGGGACAATTCAATGAATCCTTCACAGATCCCTCGCTCATATTGTAAGTGGGGCTTGGCATCCCTCTGATGGTCTTGGTGAGATATGAAAACCCATTG